TCCTCCTCCTCCTCCTTCTCCTCTTCCTCCATCGGGACGGCCTCCTCCTCCATCGGGATGTCCTCCTCCTCCTCCTCCTCCTCCTCCTCCTCCATCGGGACCTTCTCCTCCTCCTCGTCCTCCTCCATCGGGATCTCCTCTTCAATCAATCAATCAATCAATCAATCAATCAATCCCGTTGAACGTATCCATTAGACAGGGTCTTAACAGTTCAAGATCTTGTCGGATCGATACGTTCGACGGGATTGATTGATTGCTTGCTTGATTGATTGATTGATTGATTGATGGATTGATTGATGGATTGATTAATTGGTAATAGAACGTGGACGGATTGATTGATTGATTGATTGATTGATTGATTGATTGACTGATTGATTGATTGATAAAAGTTCGTTCAATCAATCAATCAATCAATCAATGGAGATTATCAATCGATTATGCACTCAATGAACAAATGTGCCCATATGTAACTCCATGGCCGTCTTGGTTTGTCCATGCAGCTTGAACTTTTGCTGCATGCCAGGCTGACGCAGTGGTCTTACAGTATTCCACACCAATTCAAGGGATTTGAGAGTTAGCAATCATTCATTCCTTGGGCCAGCGTTCATAGGCGGCCAGTTGCTATCCTGTTCCTCCCCGTCGTAGTCATAGCGTCAGGTGGTAGACGGCCACGAGGGGGCTGCTCCCTCCATTCCAGCCACTGCCTGCGCACAAGCAAGCAGATCTGAGGCGAACACATGTGGTATGGGAGTGGGCGGAAAGGGGGCAGGAGTGGGGGTTGGTGGGCGGAGGCAACTTTCTTTTGCGTTGCCGACTGTGTGGGGAGGTGTTCACGGGTTCGAGGTTCAGAGCAGTGGAGCACTTCATGAAACCGAAGGCACACTACCCCCGACGGAATGGGGAGATTTTGTATAGACTGCAAGCGGTTGGTGCTTTGTTGAGGAATGCATTGTCACTGAGACTGGCTGCTAAACACGCAGACAAGATGGATGGAGAGCTCGCCGCCGGGGACTTGCGTGAGTTGGACGAGCCATGTGACCCGGTGTCGGATGGTGCAGGTGAAGTTGAAGACGGTGATCGTGGGGAGGGTGGTACACAGCACGGGCAGGATGCCGGGACTGTGAGAGATGAGTTGCGGGGCGTTGAAGGTGCAGGAGATGGTGGAGGGGATGGAGGGGGAGCTCGGGTTACTCGCACGACGGCCCCCACCTCCACACAGGCGGTGGCGAGGAGGAGACAAACGACCCTAGATGTTCATGTAGGGAACAAGGTCCAACAGGATCTTTATCGTCTATTGGCCCTTGCTATCTATCGAGGTGGAGTGCCCTTCAACTGGTTGCGGTTGAAGGAGACGCAGGACTATTGGAACTACATAGTCACACTCCTGCGTCCTTCGATCGTGTCGGTGCCACGACTGCTGACATACGAGGGAGTCCGCACGAGGATGATGGACATCATTTTCCACGAGGTAGCAACCCTCATTGCACCTAAAACGGTGAAGTGGGCTACCACAGGATGCACGCTGCTGACAGATGGGGCTAACGACACGACCAACAAGCCCATCATGAACTTCATAGCAGCAGGACAGTCCGGACCCATCCTCATCCGGACCATCGACATGTCACATCGGGAGAAGACGGGAGTCGGCCTGGCAGAGATATGGGAGGGAGTGATCAAAGATGACATTGGCATCGACAAGGTGAATGCCATCTGCATCGACAACGCAGCAGTGATGAAGACAGCAGCCGACATTTTGCAGTCACACCTTGACCCACGTATTCGTCGCATACCTTGGATCCCATGTGCAGCACATTGCTTGAGCTTGCTGATGAGGGACATTGCGGCGCAGCCTTGGGCGGCCACTGTCATGAGGAAGGCGCACTGCGCCGGCCACTGTCATGAGGAAGGCGCACAAGTTAGTCAAGTTCATGCGCAACAAACAACGAGCCCTTGCACTTCACAAGACCATGAGGAACGCGCTTGTACTGAAGCGACCAGCGGAGACGCGTTTTGGGACAGCGTTCATGATGCTCGAGAGGCTATATGAGCAGAGAGGTATGTTAGACAAGCTCGTGTCAGAGGAGTCGTGGGCGCAGGTGTGGTGGACTGGTGATGCGAGGAGGGATGAGCCCAAGGTGCGTAGGATGTGCGGAGACGATTCTTGGTGGGGGCGGGTGAAGATGGTTGTGAACGTCATGGCCCTGTGCTTCAGGTTCCTCAAGGACATGGACAGGGATGGATCGTCACCCATAGGATTGTGGAATTTGGAGAGCATATTGCGGGGGAGGGTCAAGGCTCTTGGACTGACGGAGCATGAGAGGAGGGCGGTCATGGATATCATATCCGACAGATGCAGGATGATGCGTCAGCCTGCCCATGCGGCAGCGTATCTGTTGGATCCTCGCCGTCGTGATATCTCATTGCTGGCAGACCGCAMCAACTCCCTCRTGCAGAGYGCGCTARACCACTTGGCTCGCTTTGAGGGTGCAAGTTGGGAGTCTGATTCTGTGCATACGCTTTGGCAGGCATTGTGGACTTTCCATTGCGAGGACCCTCGCTATTGGCCGAAGACTGGAGCGCACTGGTGGGACGAGTTTGCGATCAAGGACGCGGCGGAGGGGGGGATGCATGCAGCGATGTGGTGGGAGGTTCACGGTCACCAGCAGCCGAGACTGCAGACGATTGCGAAGAGGGTTTTGGGTATGTGGTCCACGACCAGTACTTGCAAGAGGAACTGGTCCACCCACGATTTCATCCACACAAAAAGGAGGAACCGCCTTTCTGCAGAGAGTGTCGAGAAACTGGTTTTCATTCACTGGAACTTGCAGCTCCTCAGTGCCAGCAGGAGGACGGACAACCAGTACATTAACGTGTGGGATGACCAGGTGGAGGACCAGGTGGAGAACCCTCGGAGGAGATCGACGTTGACGACAGTGTCCCCGCAGCGGTACCAGAGGACGAGTGGGAGGAGATCGACAGGAGAAACAGGAGGAAGGAGGGGCGTAATCGATTTGGAAAGGGGAAGGCACCGATCGAGGATGAGGATGAGGATGAGGAGGGTGATGAGGCCCTTTGGCAGGATGCGGTGTGGATGCTCAGAGAGATGATGGAGGCGCAGCAGGAGCAGAGAGACGCAGGCCGTACGTTGCCTGAGGATTAGCATGACTTATTGGACGAGTGGGGTAGAGCGGACCCTTACATTGATTTCGACTCGTACATCGGGCAGAGTGTGGATACCGTGAGGAGTCCACGGGGGAGGGTTGGGGGTGGGTTAGATTTTGAGGAGCTTCTGGGGGTAGGGCAAGAGGAGGAGAGAAGTCAACACGTTCCACATTCGTTGACTGCCGGAGAGGGAGGACATACTGGAGGTGTTTCAGTTGATGCACGTACGTCGGCTCGTGCAGCACCCCATCACGCTGCTGAGAGGATTCTGCGAGGGGCAGAGGAGGAGATGATTGGGAGGGAGGGTCATCATGCGGATGACAGGCCGGAGGACACACACCAGGTGCGCCAGGTCGCTGAGCAGGTTATACATCGAGGCGGGGGTTCACAGAGCATCACTCAGTCAGTTGTCCAGAGGGTCGTGCTACGTGGTGGGGATGGTGATGGACAGATGGCGGGCGGAGGTGGAGAGCGTAGGGTCAGTGACGTCATTCGTCCTGCAGTGGTTCAGACCTCGGAGCAGAGGATTGGTTGTGCTTCCTCAGCGCACGTCAGCCAGAGGGTGGATGACAGGGCGGACCCATTACCAGCGTCTGTCGAAGAGCTTGGTGTGGACCAGAGGGTGGAGCAGAGGGTAGATGGGGTGGTGCACGACAGGGCGGAGCAGAGGGCTGACCAAAGGATTGAACACCGGAGAGAGCAAGGGATGGACACAGCTTGGAGGTTCAGGTGGACGTTACCATGGACGAGAGCGTAGTTCGACGGACGGACGACAGGGGCAGCGAGAGGAAGGGTGTGGCATCTACACGCGAGAGTATGATCCAAAGTGAGGATGCTGAGGTTGCTACAGAGGGGGGGGGAGAGAGGGAGAGTCATGTTAGACTGCCGACTGCCTCATTCTATGGGATCCCGCCCATGCCCACACGTGCCACCCAATCACCCGATGCAGCAGGCGTTCATCTTCTCGGCAGGTCGACGACAATTGGAGCACATGGTGGTGGCACTTCATCTACCGCAGTGTCCCCTGGCAGTGCCCTACACCACCCCCCATCGGTGACTTTACGACGCCCGGCTGCGCACGCGAGTGGAGCATCCACTTCGTCAGTGGCAGCTGGCCCGCCTGTGCGTAGTCCATTAGGCATGCCACTGCTCCCTGCACGACTTCCATCAGCCATTGATGATAATGTGAAGACAAGTCGTGCAGGCAGGAAGAGGAGGAGGGAGGATGACGGAGGCGCATTACCACCTCCTCCACGGCCGCAGGGTGGCACAGGCAGACCTCGTGGTCGCCCGCGAGGCTCAGGATCAGGCAGGTGTCGAGGCAGGGGTCGAGATTCATGGCGATGAGTGCATTGGGGGCAAACGACGCGGGTGAGGACGATGTTGGGCAGTGCACCACTGCATGAACTGATTTGACGGTGGGAGTTCGCACAAGGTCTCAGGCCTTGAGACGAGTTCCCGTTAGGAAATCCACTCGTATCATTGACGACGATTCAGATGCCGCCTCAAGTGATGGCCTTTCTGGTAGTGACTACATGCATGAGAGGGATATTGAGACTCGTGTCCGGGAAGAGGACGAGAGTGGACATCACGATAGCTCAGATGGTAATGGGCACGAGGACGACTAAAGGGATGTTCACTACTTTGTTGAGGGATGTGTTTTGTCATCGGTGGTTGTAGCATGGAGGAACTTGGGCGTTCATGTTGCAACTTCGTGTATCTGCGACTGACATTGATGAGCTTGTCTTCATACGATGCGTGCATTGTGTTGGTCTATCATCGAGTCAATATCTCGTGTATATGTGTGTGAAATTGCTAGTCAGTCACTTGGTTTAGTCCACAAGGTAAGGTCATCGCCACTCTAAGTGTGTGTGTGTGTGTGTGTGTGTGTGTGTGTGTGTGTGTGTGTGTGTGTGTGTGTGTTTGTGTGTTGTACTGCACATATGTGGGTGGATGTGGGTGTATGGACATGCAGCAAGTGTTGCAGACGCATCAATGCATGCAACACCAGATGCATCCGCGTACTCTAACACACCCCCCCCCCCTCCTCTTCCATACACCCCACACCACCCCCTTACCCCCAAAAACATTTTTTTTCCCATAAATGTTCCAAATCACCCTAAACTTTTTTTGGGGATTCTCCCAGTGTTACGCAAGAACATCCTTTTTTTTTTTTTTTTAATATGTCAAAAAGGGGTTGTCCGGGATCCCGGACAACCCCCCCTCCGAACGGTTGGGGGAGACGTCCGGCTATCGGACGACTACTAACCTAGGGAAAAAATCAGTAAAAAATGCTGTCATCCTCGTTTTTATATTTTCTCGAGTTTCCTTGTGAATTTCGACAAGACCCTAAGTAAAAATTGTTTGTATTGCATTGTTGTATAACATTTTTTTTTTTTACGGACTTTTTTGATTATTTTTGAAAAATCAAAATTGAAAAAATTTGAGTACAACATACGTACGTTGTATTCGAATTCGACGTACGTATGTTATATTCGAACGTACATTCTATTCGGGAAAAAACAAGCAATTTATAAAAATCCGGTTTCCAAAGGTAATTCGAATAGAACGTACGTACGTTTTTTTCGGATTAAGAAGGTAACCTTGACCCAAACACGTTCCCCTACCTGAAATATGGACTGTCGACGTTTCTTATTCTCAGAAGCAATCATGGCTTCCTGAGTTTTCTTGATGTGTTCGACAGTCTGCTGCAACAATTTCTCGTACTGGACACCAAGTTCAATGGTTCCAGGAGTTGCAGCAGTTTGGTTTTCAGGCAGGAGGAAGTCTAGAGCAGATCTAGGCTTCCATTCCAGATGTAGCTAATTTGGGGTGACCCCGGTGGTGCTGTGTACAGCGTTATTGTACAGACTGGCGATGAGAGGTAACTTCTCATCCCATTCATACTGGCTGGGCTTGATGTAATGCCTCAGCAGATGCTGTACCACACGGTTCACCTGTTCAGCCTGCCCATTTGCTTCGGTTTAATTCTCATAAGTCATCTGAAGTTGGCTGCCCATCTGTTCAACGGCCTTATTCCACATCTCGCTAGTGAATCGCACATCACTATCACTAACGATTGTCTTTGGTGGTCCGAAATCACGCACCCACTTATCCATGAATAACTTAATGACGTGTTCGGTCCTGGCGGCCTCTTACATGGCAACTAGTCTAGCGAACTTAGTAAACCTATCAACTATGACGAAGATGTGTTGCTTTCCATTCTTGCTGGTCACGAGAGTATCAACTAATCCATGGAGATGCTCTGCCCTGGGCCAACAGGAATGGGTAGAGGCTTGTATAACCCAAGCGGAGCTTGAGTCCCCGGCTTATCCTGCTGACAGACCTCACATGTCTGTTCGTACTTCTTTGCATCGTATAGCATGTTGGCCCACCAGAATCACTGTACTAATTTAGCATTAATCTTCTTGTAGCCGAAATGTCCCGTTGCGTCGTGACACTCACCAAAAAATAAACTACGCAAAATCTCCCTAGATGGAACAATTAACCTTTTAAAGCCTGCCTTTTCAAGAAAGAGGTAACCCATCCACCATCACAAACTCGTCAGAGTTGGCCTTGTCTTTGGCCTGCAGTTTGTTGATGATGTCCATCGTGATGGGATCTTGTAGGCTTCCCCCAAAGATCAAGTAACGTCCTCAGACCAGCCAAACTCAGAGATCATCGCGCCTAGGTAATCTGCCCTGCGAGACGAAGCATCGGCAACCTTGTTGTACTCTCCCTTCACATAGTTTAGTTTGAAGTCGTACTGATCTATGACTTCAATCCAACGTCGTACTGATCTATGACTTCAATCCAACGTTTGAGTGCATCGGAGAGAACAGGTTGGGTCTTGATCCACTTGACGCTCTGATGGTCAGTTCTCAAGTAGAAGACCCTTCCTAACAGATAGTGCCTCCAGTGGACAAGTGCCTTGTAGAGAGCATAGAGTTCCCTTTCGTAGGTGGACTTTGCCAACTTCTTTGATGGCATCTTTTTGCTCATATACTCGACCGGTCTCAACATTTTTCCTTGCTGCTGAGCCAGCACTGCGCCAATGCCATATTGGCTTGCGTCAGTGGTTACAAAGAATGGCCTCTGCGGGTCAGGTACCATAAGAACTTCATGGTGCGTGAGAGCATGCTTTAATCGCTTGAATGTTGCCTCACATTCGTCGGTCAAGTCCCATGGTGTGTCAAGTCGAGTTAGATCAGTCAAGGGAGATGTGATCGTGCCATGGTTCTCTACGAAATTGCGGTAATAACCACACATTCCCAAAAATGATCTGACCTCACTCACAGACTGGGGTCGTGGCTAGTCCCTAATACTAGCCGCCTTCGCATCTTCAAACCTAGTCCCATCCGCGGGGAGACTTCATGACCCAAGTACAAGATTCGAGTCCGTCCGAACTCGGATTTCTCTGCATTTATCTTATACTTGTGTTGCCGAAGGAGTGAAAGTACTTTGTCTACATGTTGAGCATGCTCCTCGACAGTCTTACTAAAGATAAGTATATCGTCAACGTACACGACCACAAACTTATCTAAGTAGTCATGAAAGATTTTATTCATGGCGTGCTGCAGTGTACCCGACACATTGCAAAGGCCAAAGGGCATCACCACAAACTCGTACAGACCGTACCTGGTCTGGAATGTGGTTTTGTGCTGGTCCTCTGGTCTTATAGCACTCTGATGGTAGCCGGACTTCAAGTCTATCTCGGTATAGTACTTACACCCCTGCACTATATCCAATAGGTCGTCGATGCGTGGTAGAGGCTCTGCGTTCTTAACGGTGATGGCATTGAGGCCTCTATAATCAATGTACATCCTGTTCCCCCTTTCTTTGGAACATATAAGATTGGTGAGTCAAAGGGGGAGGTGTTAGGCCGAATCCACCCCTTCTCTGTGAGCTCTTTCAATTGTCGCCGAAGTTCGTCCAACTCGGCCAAAACCATCTAATAGATTTTTCCCGTAGGTGTCTTGCTACCTGGGATGGTCTCTACGACATGGACAACCTCCCTGTCTACGACTCCTGTAGGCTCCTCAAACAAATCAGGGTACTTAGCGACGATTGTCTCTATCTCTGGGGTGTTTTAACGGTCTCCCCTTAGTGACGATTGTCTCTATCTCTGGTGTGTTTAAATGACCTCCCCTTTTGCAGAGACATAGATTAAGTACATTCCTTACTCTTGGTTATGTTTATAATAGTTATAGAAGGTTGATGCGCATAAGCACCCATAGGAGTCTATTAACCTACTAGCTTTATACTTAGCCAGTCTAACGGTCCTCCCATTAGGCAACTCCTGCTTCAACACCTTGTCTCAGTCAAACTAGGGCTTGGCAACCTCGAGGTAGTACATGCCCAACAACATGTCATAGGGCAAATCGTCGCTCACCAGGAATGATATCTTATGGTCTATCTCTCCTCCTTGGTAGGAGAACGTGCAGACCACGTCTTTAACGTAATCCTCCACCATCATGTTGGCCAAAGTATATGCTACCGGTCTACTAAGGCGCTTCACCCGGTCCTTTAGGCGCAGTCTATCGACGCAGTCGCGACTTATGAAGTTTCGCGTGAAGCCGATGTCTACGAAGGCGCCGCACTTGCGACCACCCACACCAACTTCCACAACGAAGTGCTCCCCTCTAGGACTTCCTACTTAGTGCCACCCAGGACTCACGAGGGTCCCTTGCCGACCACTTACCGTGAAGGTCCTCTAAGGATTCAAACACATCCAATGTACAGAGTATAGTTGGGTCCGGATGTGTTGCGAGGTGACTAAGGAGCCAATAGCTTCTATCAACTTTGAAACGGGG